AGAAGGAAAGTAAAAGTTTTAATATAGTAAGAGTCAAAGAGAAAGCAAACTGAGACTCATAATATAATTTCCCATAAAATGACATGAGGTGAAAAACATGGCTTAAATAACACATATAAGTCTTTCAATTTGCGGTATTTTGGTGGTGATCTTAGAAGGAAAGTAAAAGTTTTAATATAGTAAGAGTCAAAGAGAAAGCAAACTGAGACTCATAATATAATTTCCCATAAAATGACATGAGGTGAAAAACATGGCTTAAATAACACATATAAGTCTTTCAATTTGCGGTATTTTGGTGGTGATCTTAGAAGGAAAGTAAAAGTTTTAATATAGTAAGAGTCAAAGAGAAAGCAAACTGAGACTCATAATATAATTTCCCATAAAATGACATGAGGTGAAAAACATGGCTTAGAAGGAAAGTAAAAGTTTTAATATAGTAAGAGTCAAAGAGAAAGCAAACTGAGACTCATAATATAATTTCCCATAAAATGACATGAGGTGAAAAACATGGCTTAAATAACACATATAAGTCTTTCAATTTGCGGTATTTTGGTGGTGATCTTGGTTTTATTACCCTGTTACTATTTTTGACAATCTAAGATATCTAAAGATTCTTGGTAGTTACTTTACAAGGGCAGGCCAAGTGTTTAACATCTAATAGACAAATAACCAATTTGAGATAGGAATACCTCGTTACGCTCACGCCTTAAACATAGAGGAAGCTAGAAATGCCACTAGAAAACCCATGGCTCTCCGTTCCAAAAGCCCCAGATAAAGATGTTCAAAATGTCAGACAAATTTGAAAGAAATGTAATTTCTACATCAGAATGACAGTTTAGAAGTTTAGACCCATTTCACTTCAACTTCAGCATTAGCTCATGCCAAGTGCATCGGAACTGCAGACGTTACATAATGAGGTGCAGACGACAAGGGTTTGTGACTTTTATCTACGGATACTAGAACATTAGAGAAGTCAGTCCTATTGGTGTTCTGCAACTTTAGTTGACAATTTTCTCTCTTTTTTTTTGGGTGTGCGCGCCAAATAGGACCTAAATTAGCAAATATCAAGTGAATAAGATAATGCACCTAGGGTTGCCACATGAATGAAATATCAAAAATAAACAGATTGCAGACAACAATGTTTATACTGCAGGTATGCAAATCAGTCTTTGACACCATCTGTTCCACTGGAGCAAAGCAAAAATAAAATTTAGAGAAGATATCAATCAAATTCTCAAGTAAATATTAAGTTCATTAACTCCAGTTAGGGAGACACAAAAACTATGTTATTCTCAGCATGTTCCAAAGCGTAAAGGGGGAACAAACCAACCTGCATCCTATCACATGCTCTACTAAACTATCCACAATCCAACAAGAGCCAAAATAGAAAAGACAGCATAACCACAACCCTAACCCTACTAACCCAATTCCAATGAAATATACTATAAATAACAGTTAACCTTCACACATATCATACCAAATACAGAAGGAAAAACAAACAAGACAGCATGGATCATTGAATGCTCACCTGAATCCCCTCAGGCATTTTCCTAACTTTCGCCTACAATAACAGTTAACCATCATCAACAATCAAAACAGGCAAAAATTAAATTACAAATCAAGACCATACCCTGTTCTTCATCTTATTTGGTGGATGATTGAACTTGCAGTTCAATCCAAACTTGCAGGTCCCCATCTTCATATAGTATGCACAATTCGCCTCATTTGACCTCACCGGAAACTGAGGCTTTCTCCTTTGCCCCTTCTCCTCTTTCGTATTCTCAAAACCCACACCAGGTTTATAATTCTTTTCAGTAACTCCAGTCTCCGGACCCCATCCAAAAACTTCCACTTTCTCTCCATTCGACCACTCGATATCTTTCTCGGGATTCTGATTCCCATTAGATAAATTGAAATCTTGATCCCAGCCCCAACCATCTGCCATCACTTCATCAGGCTTCTGGTTCTCTTCAGGCACTGTGACCCCCGGATCCGAACCCCAACCATCGACCGCCGTCTCCACGAGATTCTCCTCGCTCGAAGGCTCCGAATTCTCGTTAGCAGAGTTCCCATTCTCTTCCCTCGCCGTCGGTTCTTGATCAGCACCGTCGGATTTCTCCTCGGGATCCTCTCCGACCTTGGGATTGCCAAGTTCGTCGGATCTCTCCTCTGGATCCTTTTCGATCTTGGGGTTGTTAAGTTCGTCGGATTTCGAACTCGGATCGTCTTCGGTATTGAGATCGAGATTGTGGAGATCGGCATTGAGGGTTTCGGGGATGTCGGTGGCATCGGAAGAAGGGACGGGAGAGGGGGGATTTAACACTAACCCTAACCCTACGGGTCCTGCATCGCAAGCCGCCATGGATTTTGATCACATCCGAGTTGATAAATCCTTAGAAAACCCTAAAAAGGAGGAAGACGAAAAGTGCAGCGAAAAGGGGAAGGGCAGATATTAATACAGTTTCAGCCAACTTAATATTATGTTACGGATTTATTAATTATATTCTTTAAAAATTATATATTTAAAAAGTCCAAAACAAATTTTTAAAGGGAAAATTGCTTCTACCCCAAAACAATTTCATGTGTGTTTGGCCCGGAAACCCGGGCCAAATCAGGTTCCATGCTCGGGCCCAGACTATCTGGGTGATGCCCGGACCTAGCTCGGCCCGGCCTGGTTAAATTTTTTTATATTTTATATATATATTTTTATATATTTTTACATATAATTATATTATGATATGGTTATTAATGTGTGTATATGTATGTGTGTTATATAAGTATATTTATATGTGTATATTATGAAATTACAGTTATATAAGTGTATATAAGTGCATAAGTATAATTATATATAAGTATATTGCATTTAGTATATATATATAAGTGTATCATATAAATAAACTGTATAACGGTACTTAAATTAGCATAATGTAAGTATGTAATAAATACATATATAATATACATTTATGTGTTCTCTCTCTATATAAAACCTTGTAAATTTAAATATTTTATGATAAATATGTTATATAGTGAAAAATAACATATTATTGATGTTTGAGTATGATAAGAATTAATTTGAGATCAATTTAATGTATATTTATGAAAATATGAGTGCAAATGCACAAAACATGCACAAAGGCCAAAAGAGTAAAAATCTGGGAATAATGATCAGTTATGAGTTTCTATGTTTTGCATACTGATGTAGGTAGAATCTGGAAAAGTATAAAAGATCACAGTTGTAGATCTCTTCAACAGCTTTCCAACAAATCTTAGATCACCTCATTCCAAGGTCGGATGAGAAAGTTACAGCCAAAATACCGAATGTCGTTTTCCTAGTCAGACTAGGTTTCCTAGTTCGGGTCAAACAGGTTTGTTTCGGGTTTGCCTCTATAAATACCTATGTTTTTTATAAAAATTCCTTTTTTTTTATCATATCTATGAACCCTAGCAGCCACACTCTCCCCTCAAAAATCCTAGATCTTTTTCTTATGAGTTTGAAGAGCTTTGTGAAGCAAAATATCGACACGAGGGCGAGATCATCGACGTGTGACGAGGGAGAACGTGTTGTTTATGCTCGAGGATAGCTTGCTGCTTGTTTCAGAGGCTTGCACATGATATTAAGGCAATATCACTTATATTCAAACTCATCCCCATAGTTAAATAACTAGTTTAGAAGTTTAAATTGTGCTTACATGCTTAGATCTTAATCTAATGTGAAAAAAGAATAGATTTTTGTTGTTAGATCTTAAACAAATGTTAGATCTATATGTTTTTCTTCCTATTTATAATAGAAATATGATCATGATCATTAGAGGTCTTCAAAATTTTATTTTTAACTTGTTAATCATGTTCTAATCATGTTTAAACCCTAATTTGACATTTAATTGAGTTTACATGTGGATTAAAGATGAGAAACCCCTAGGTTTTTGATACCTAAGTGTTAAAAATATGATTTAATGAATGTATATTTTTAAAAGTTGTTTGGCAATCATGCTTATGTTTAATATGTTAAAAGTTCATGCTTTAGATTGAAGAATTTGGTTAATTAGGTTGAAAAACCCTAATTAGATTAACACAAGAGTTTGATTTATGTTCGAGATAATTTCAGTAAGTGATTATCAAAGTTTAAGTGTTGTTATATATTTTATATATGTTTCAGTATGTTTTAAACATAATTGAAGGTTTAAATATGATTTATTGTGCAAATAATAATGCTTATTATGTTCTGCAGAAAAACTGTTGCACATATATACTGTTTAACTAGAAACTTGAAATAAAAAATGAAATCCAAATTGAACCAAAATAATGCCAATTGAAAGATATGTGAATCTAGTTTTCAAAACAGAAAACCTTTCCTAAAGATAGTTTTTTTAAAGAAAGATATGCTCAATTTACTGATGATACATTCTGCAGAAAAATTGTTGCACATATATAATATTTAACTAGAAATTAGAGATATCATATGAACTCCAAACTGAACCAAACCAGTGCCAAATGATAGCTATGTGAATCTAGTTTCCAAAACGAAAAACTATTCTTAAAAAGAGTTTGTCTAGAGAAAGATACTAACGATATGTTCTGTAGAAAACTGCAAATGTGCTGATTTGAAATAATTGATATATAACGTGAAAGTTTCTTGAGTTTCGCTCTTGTTTGTTATTTTCGAGAGAGTTTCTCGATCTCGTACTGTTATATTACAATGATTAAGAGTTTTTTTATCATCTGAGATGTTATTGAACATCAGTTATGGACACACACACCGAGATATGTGCACGTATGCTTAGTTTATGTTGTGTTAACATACTTTTGTCGCAAGTTGAATTGGTAAGCACATATAAAGAAGTATAGTTTTCATGTATCCGAAATAGAAAGATAAAACCTATTTTCGCAGGACGATTGAGTAAGAGTATTACAAAAGTATCGTCATTTCATGTATCCGGAATAGGGAGATAAAACCTATTTTCGCAGGACGATTGAGTAAGAGTATTACAAAACTATCGTTATTTCATGTATCCGGAATAGGGCAATAAAACCTATTTGTCGTAGAACGATTGAGTAAGAGTATTATAATAGTATTGTTATTTTATGTATCTGGAATAGGAAGACAAAACCTATTACCGCAGAGCGATTGAGTAAGAATATTACAAGAGTATCGCTATTGTATAAGGAGATGCACACATATATGTATCATCAGTTGTAGTTACTCCCATGTTAGATTACCTATGAGTATGACACATTCCTTGATTTGTGACATACATGATATGACATATGGTGATTTTTGAGTTGGATGATATTCTCTTATTATTACGCCAACTACTTGAGAAGTAGTTCGAGATTGTGACATTGGTCCTATATGGTTTAGGCTTGGAGTATTTCTTTTGAGTGTTGTTTTTATTCATAGAGTTGGAATTGGTATTTAGGGATCTATAATTTGAGACATATAGTATATATAAGATGGTTTCCTTGTTTGGATTATTTTGCTCGACGTACTACGTCTCGTCTTGTAGGTGTCTAAATATTAACTCTATTAGATACGAGGAAAATGATATAGGTAGACTATACTTAATAGATAGAGTCTCCACTTCATTTAGCGGCCATTCCCCTGGGGGCAGATGGAGGTGATCTTGCTGTAGTGCTCTGACGCTCTTGTTGTTGTTCTTTTTATTTAAATTATATCTTTCAGGCAGATCAAAGTTTCGGAGAGCCGCATGATGACAGAGTTCTAGCATAGTCGCCGTTGCATAGTTTTAGCAGTTGAAGCTCCACTATTTAGTTATGTTCATTGTTCAGACTTTAGAGTTGTATTCATTTTGTAGAGGCTGAGTACCTTAGTGAGATTTCATTTGACTCTTTGTATTGAGATGTATTTCAGACTCAGAGATATTTTCATTTTATTTCAGTTGGGCTCATTTATTGATATACTTCTTCTATGCATATCTGATTTTGTACTACTTCTATTATTTATCTATTTTGTACATTTACCTATTTGTTGTTTCCACTAGAGAGATAGTGATTGTGATTGTAAAACATGTCGTAGCATGGTGTTTGGTGCTTGGCAGGTTTGACAATCCGGGTTTCACCTTGGACTATAGCTTTTGTGTGAACCCTGGGGCGTCACAGTTGGTATCAGAGCTCTAGCTCTAGTATGCTTAGGATCATTCCTGTGTCAAATTATAGAGCTAGGATAGAGTTTTCTAGGATTCATGTATAGAGTCTGCTAGGAATTCCTAGAATGAGTGAGGACGATATGTGCGTATATCTCAAAATTTTGAATTTTTTTATGACAATTATTTTATGTTGATTTAAAGTATTTGCGTGAATACTATATGTTATGTATACGTATTGTGATACATTATATATATATATATATATATATATATATGTTTGCGATCTCACTTACTATGATCATAAGCTCTCCTCTCGATATTATAAATGTTGGGACGAGGATACGGTCGAGATAAAACTCGTACCCGGAGAGCTGGGCAAGTAGAGCCCGAGCCGTAGCAGGCTCCATAGTATCTGATCGACTTTATGTCATCGTTTAAAGTAATATTTTGTAGCACTCGAGGAGCGAGAGGCGTACCCGTTTTGGCAGCAGTATCACTTTTTAGAGTTCCACCACTAATTGTACCAGTCATGCCTAATGAAGAGGCAATACTAATGATTTCATCATCACCACAACCAGCTATTGATAGAACCACATAGCATGAGGCTTGGCTTTGAAAGAATAGGAAGGATATCAGACACTGAGAATACCATAGTGCAGGACACACTAGATTCATGTGCAACTTATAAATAAAAAGGAATATGTGAAAATTTTTTAACGTCGACTCAGTACCAAACCAGAGGTTAAAAATATTCAGCATAGAGGATATCACCAGGGAATAGCAGCAAAGGATAGCTACGATTTTAGATTTTCGCCGGGACAGCGTATATCACTTATTTGGGAAAATTTTGTTTACTTCTTTGATAAGCAGTTAGAGCTAATTCGATTAAAGCAATGAAATATGCATATAGTTAATTATGAAATCAAGACCAACATGATGGCAATAATAAGAGCAAGAGGCCTATTGTGGGATCTAGAGGACCCCAGCAACGGGGTAAGGATTTTTACCATTATCAACAAAGATATTATAAGAAGATAGCACAACATGATTTAATAGCGCCGCAACAACGCATGATTCGGGACACATGATATAATTGTAACAAGATCGGATATAGATCAAAGAATTATCACAGTACACCAGCAGGAGACCAGCATGACAGAGGTAAGGGTCAATAGTCTTAGGGCTGCGATTACGACCAGCATCGGAGGATAGATGTACTACCGATTATTTCGAGGATTTAGGGGCTTATAGGCCAGAATTGTACTATTCAGAGTATTCATCAGGGTCAGATGGACCCATACGTTCCACCACCTGTAACACACCAGTCACCAGCCACCGACAAAGCTTA